GTTCGTTTACACGTTTTCCTTACATCGATGGGTGCGTTCGGGGAGCACGCTATCACGCAACAAACGCTAACGCTGATAGATGCGTTCGGAGAGACTATAAGCAGTTTACGCTTTCGAGCTGCTCGAACGTTGCTTGAGTGAATTTATCGTTACAATATGGCTGATGTTGATGCAAATATGGATAACCATAAAGAAAAAAATTATTAAGTCTTTTACTCTTTGCTCTGAGTGAATTAATAGAGTCTTCATCATCTGATGACGAAGAAGAGTTGGATGTACTCATTAATTTAAAAGTAGGACGTCGGAAGAAACTACCAAGACTACAAAATTATGTGGAAGAGGTGATACCTAGGTGGAAAGATCAAGAATTTTAGGTAATGATAAATTATCTTTAATTAATTTTCAAAGTTCTATACATATATCATAGAATGGTGAACATATTTCACATTATGTATTTATTTATGATAGCTCAGTAAATATTGCAGCAAAGTAAATGCAATATGTATTTTATTACATTTACATTGTTATGTGAGAAATTATAACATAAATGTAATGTAATGTAATTTTTCAATAATGTCATTTGAAATTTCAACAAAAAGTGTTTAGTATAGTGATATTCGGTATTTATTGAAAAGAAATTAGCTAAATTTTTCTATTAGCATATTCGACTGGACTTGGGTTCACCCATGCTAGGTTAAATAAACCCAGCTTATTGATCGAACATGTACTATATAGTATAGTATAATATACGTTCGACTAATAAGGCCCAGTTCCATTTGCTTTAAACGAAGTTTAAAGCTAAACCGATGGTTAAAAGCAATAGTATATGCGCATATACTTTATGGTTAAAATTGCTTTTAACCATCGGATTAGCTTTAAACTCCGTTTAAAGCAAGTTGTGGAACTGGGTCTAAGTTGAGTTTATGTAACCCAGCATGGATTAACCCAGGTCCAGTCGAATACGCTGTATGTCTATACTAATTTTAGTTCTACACACTTCTTATCTAGAATATCCAGAGACACTTTTGAGTTTGTACTCTTGATAATTGCCCCAAAACTTAAGAGAAAGTATCCAGGGTTAGGAATGATCTTCCCAGAGAAACAGTTTTTTATTGCTATTTGGCGAATGGCTACACCAGATTCTTACAGGTTAGTACATTATATCTAATAATAAGACCTACTCAAGGTAATGTTGCATTTTTCATTCATAATTTTTTTAATCCTAGATCAATATGTGAAAAGTTTGATGTGAGTCGATCAACAGCCTTATTAACAACACGTCGAGTTACCAAGATACTTGCAGATTTAGCACCAGTATTGATTAAATGGCCAACAGGCAACGCTATCCAAGAAGTTTGGACAGGATTTGAAGTAATTAGTTCCTTCCCTAAAGTCATAGGAGCTATCGATGGTACTCACATCAATATCCCATCTCCACATATACATCCAGAAGCCTATGTTAATCGGAAAGGTCACCATTCCATTCAGCTACAAGTTTGTAATATGTACTTAGTATATTAGATGGAAGAATTTATCCTCCTCACTATATTGTATATATTGAATATATCGTACTTAATATTCTTCCAGGGGATCTGTGATCACAAAGCTCGTTTCACGCACTGCTATATTGGACATGCAGGTTCTATGCATGATCAACACGTTTTTCGTCAGTCAGAAATTCAAGATGCATTGGATAACCCAGAAAAATTTCCTGATGATTCCCATTTACTTGATGATGCTGCATATAAAATTCATGATAATTTAATGGTTCCATATCGTGATAATGGTCATTTGACTGAACGACAAAAAAATTATAATTTCTGCCATTCTTCAGCACGAATCGCCATTGAAAGAGCATTTGGTACCTTGAAAGGTCGATTTAGAAGTTTATTACACAACCTATCCATGAATCGGACTGACTTAATTGCTCATTATATACTTGCTTGTTGTGTCATGCATAATATTTGTATACTAAGAAATGATGATTTTGACATTGTTTTATTAAATAATGAAGTAGATAATGATATTCCTCGTCAAGTTGCTGCAGATGATACAACAGGTGTTCTGAAAAGAGACTTAATTAGCCAAAGACTTCCAATAAGACTCATATAAATCTTAAAACAGTTCTAATTTTGCTAGGAATGCAATGTATTTTTTATTTTAAAGAAGTTTACAAGTTATTATCTTTTATACTTTTGTAACATAGATATAAACTAATATGTACATGTTTAATAAAATTAAGATAATATAACATATAAAAGAATTCTTTATTTATTTTTATAATAGTATTATATTTAAAAATTGCCATTTCCGTGTTACTTCTAAAATAATAAGTACATCCTCTTCGTTATTAATCCATTTAGGACAAAAAGTAAAAGAATAAAATGAAAGATACATTTTGTTATTGATATTAGTTTTATAATAGTTTATAATTAATTTTTAACACATACAATTACTCCCTCGACAGAATAAACATAAAATACTTTGTATTGTCTTGAGGTACAATAAAAATAAAAGCAAGTTATATATATGTAATATTGTTGGTTACACATAAAGAACTAATATCACCAACCCTGCTTAACTTAATCGGTCGACCAAGCATTAATATTAATTAATCATTCCCTTCGACAAAATAAAAATGAAATACTTTATATTGTCTTGAGGTACAATAAAAATAAAAACAAGTTACATATATGTAACACTGTATAAGTAACACTAAGTATAATGTAATACTTAGTTATACATAAAGAACTAATATCACTAACTCTGGTTAACTTTTTCGATCGACCAAGCAGCAAAATTAATGAACCAATTTATTTTTCTGATCAATATGATTGATTAATTTTGTTATAATAGACTAATTAAGTTAACTGAATGTAGTAATTCTGTTCCACATAACTTTTATCAGAAATATTTACCAAACATTTTAATTGTTCCAACATAGAAAGAAAAATCTTATTTTATATATGAGTGTTCTTAACATTAAGTATCACTTATGTATTTAACCATTATTCAATTTATCACAGATGTACACAGGAAGTTATTAATCTCTTGCTATTATAACTGTTATTTGTACGATTTTCACAACTTTATGCGTTGCGTCTATGACCATGTTTACGTAACAACTTTATCTAACTAATTAACTATATTATAAAAATATTTATGTATAGGCATAAAGTTGAAAATCGTCAAAATAATTCAAATTACAATGGGAAGATATTAGTGAATACTTATGTGTATAAACTTAATATTAATTATTAATATTAAAAAGTAAAGCAAATTTTAAGAATATGTTTAAAATATTAAGGAAAACAGAACGCAGTATAATAGATGTACCAGCTACTATACTATATTTTACAAAACTAAATAAAATATTAATTAATAAAAGTACTAAAAGAAGTAAACAAGAAAATAAATGGTACATGTTTTATCAAAAACAAAGGAAACAATCTTATAATTTGTACTACAACTTCGTTTTATCTTTGTTGCATGTAAATTAAAAAAAAACATTTATAATTTGTCTCAAATTTTACCCATGAATTCTAGCATTTGCTTTTCAAAGTCCATGTTTTCTTTGTGCCTCTGATCACTGTTGTTCTCAGCCAATTTCCGACTTTGTAAAATTGATTCAGCAATGTTTGATGTACTTTCTTGTGCCTTGCGCTTCCGACAATTTGAATAGCTTAAATTTTTATTACTTGAGTTTGCATTGTTACATATATTTGCATTTGATAAGTTAGATTCTCTATTAAATCTAGAATTAGAACACATACTGCTTGAAGAGGCTATTGCTGGAGGCGACATAATAGGTCGTTCACCAAGTAAAGATTCCATGACTTCCATATAAGGCCATGTTCTAAGATTATTCCCTGATTTGCTATTGTGATCTTTTATAGATTTATAAGTTCGTTTCATTCCGTGAAATTTTGAAAGACATTGAGGTCCAGTGACATTATAGCCTTTAACAGATAATGCTGATGCAATATTATTCCATACTTTTTTCTGGGACATTTTACCCGATACAATGTTATTTTTTTGCAGCCGATACTTTTCTACCAGCAATAGAATTGCCGCATGAGACCATTTAAACATTGATTCATTATTATCCTCAGAATTGGAAAACTCCATTGACAGACTTGCTGCATCAAAATCTGAATCTTGTGATTTTGCTCTTTCTAGAAGATAAGTAGCAAATATCGTATCTAAAAGAATAATGAATAATATCTATATATTAAAAGAGACATAAATCAATCACTCTCTTTTATTATAATCTAATTTATTAATTTCCATTATATCAACTGATCTATCTTCTATACTTGGATAATTATTAGCATATAAAATACTTATATAACCTCTGTCATCATAATTACCATTTTCTGCACGCGCTGCATCATTTGGCGATACTTTTATTGTGTATGTCACATCGTTTTCATCTAAAAGATGAATTTCGACATTTTCAGATATTTAACTAAGTGGTTGAGCCATTGTGAATACAGTTTCTCACAGTTTAATAAATTGTCTTTATTTGACTTTTGACGCAATTGGTTTGTTCTTTCTGGTTGCACTGTTGTAATTGGTTGAAAGAACAGCAGTTAAAAAGAACAGATCATAGACTAACACTTTAAAGCACAATCGAACGTTCGAGGAAAGAATAAGCGCCAATTAGCGCTAATAGCATTTGCTGCCTTACCTCGAAAATGATAGCGAAAAATTGCGCGAATAATGACGTCACGTTGCTTTAAGAGTGATGTCATTATCGATTTTATAGCGCCACAAAGCGTCTCCTCGAACGGTCTTAGATACTTATTGTGCGAATAGCATGCTCCCCGAACGCACCCGATGTAGAAACTCTAAAGGCTCGTCTACATTAGCTGTAAGAGTAAAGCTGTAAGGTTGCAAGACACGAAATGAAATATTTTCATTCGCTGACAGCTTACGTTACAGCCTTACAGCCTTACTCTTACAGCTATTGTAGACGAGCCTTAAAGCTAGCGGCACACGGTGCTTGTTTTCGTGCTGGATTGCTCACTGGATAAAAATGCTGCGTTTTGATTAGTACATTTCCGAAGGTGGATGGAAATACACTAATCAGAACGCAGTATTTTCATCCAGCAAGCAATCCAGCACGAAAACAAGCACCGTGTGCCGCTGGCTTAAGCCTCTTCACCAAATGACTTTGAGTTACTACATCAATGTAATAACTTCGTCGTAAAGGAGTGTTTACACGGCATCTAACGTCAGTAGTTATAACATCGATGTTATAACTTTGGCGTAAATTGGGCTGTGTAAACGTAGTCTATAATAAGAGATTCGTCAAAGCCGTACATGTCCGTGATTGGTCAGTAGATTTGTCCGCTCTAAAATGCGTTGGACCAAACAGGAGATATATTAATTATTGGCCAATAGGATTAAAGACCGCAATCTAAATCCAATATGGCCGCTAATTTGGCCCAATCTGCGTAGAACATGCTGAATTTCAACTTCTCTGAACACACTTTGTTTTCCTTCTACCATGGTCTCTACATACATGCGGTAAGATCTGCGGCAACCAATCAGGAGCCAGGCGCAAGTAGAACTCGATGCGTTATGCGTTATGCAAAAATTTGTGTTCTGGCCTTTAAGATAGAATGGTATTTCGAAGCATGCACAGTTTTAACATCAGCTTTAATCACGTATTTTTTTATCCGACTAACAATCGTTAGTATTATTTTAGAGGCCTAAATTTAGGACTTTAATATATGATTTGGCCTTTAGACGTAACGATTGGTTTTCGAATGGAGAATTTCTGGAGTCCCTATCGAGATTCTTAGGCCGAGTTTACAATACGTATAAAATCAGCCGTCAGCCATAAGGAATTATCACAGTTGAATGTAAGAAGAATTTGTGACCACATAACCTAATAATTAACCACCAAATGTTTAAATTGGACTACCAATCACCACCGAACGATTTTCTTTCGATTAAGACTAATTTGAACAAAATTGCTTGATAAATAATGTATTTGCATGGCTAATTTTACAGTCACTTCCACCATTTTACCGCTCATAATTTTTTTTATTTATTGGATAAACTATGGACCACCAAACGTTTTAAAGAATATATGCGTGACCACCAAACGATTCTGCATCGAATAAGCCCTTATTGAACTCGATTAGACTGAAAATACAAATGTTCGGCTAACTTTACATCAAAATTTTAATTATTTAATTAAAAAAGAACGATTAACCACCAAATGTTTTAATTAGACTATCAATTACCACCAAACGACCACCAAACGATTAGTTAATTTTAATTTTAAAAAAATCAAAGTGGTTCGGCCAACTTTACGGAGCTGTATTCTAAGATCTCTAGTAAAAACAGAGTGCTTCCTTTTCCACTTTTGAAATTTGGTAGAACGCGCAGTCTAGATATACTACGGGCCAGCGCACAGACTTCTGCATAACGCATAATACACAACGCATAAGAGAATCAACCAATCAGAGTTCTTCATTTCTATCCTGAGGAGGGAAATGAAGAAAACTAATTGGTTTATTCTCTTATACCTCGTCTACAATAGAAGTCATAGAGTCGTAAGTCATACAAATTGACCAATCGCGGTCGACTATTTTTCTCTTACCGGACTATGATTGGTCAATTTCTACTTACGATTACGACTTACGACTCTACGACTTCTATTGTAGACGAGGTATTATGCGTTATGCAAAAGCCTGTGCTCTTGCCCTATGGCAAATATATAAACCAATTAGTTTTCTTCATTTCCCTCCTCAGGATAGAAATGAAGAACTCTGATTGGTGATTGGTTGATTCTCTTATGCCGGTGTTTTGTATTATGCGTTATGCAGAAGTCTGTGCTCTGGCCCTATGTCTACGAATACCCCCAACGGCCAAGGCAATCAGGGAGCGTTTTCAATGCATCATTTTCATTACTTAAAAGGGACCTAAAGAGGTTAAATTTAAGCGATGATTATTATGATTATCACTTACAAATGACAAATATTGTTATAAATTTATTATTAACAAAATAACTTTTCTCATTAGTCAATTGATATCGTTAATGACACCGACAACTTTCAGTACGTGTGAATAGAATAGCGAGTCTGTTCTTTTTTAAAGAACTGAACTAATATAATAAGTTGGAATGAAATAGACATATCTTCTCTCGCTCCCGTTGCAATTATTTCAGAAGATTAAAAAAGAACAGATCCAAGGTATACTTGTTTCACTTTAATTTTTTACATTAGTTAAGTTCTTTGAAAACAAAAGGTTTGTTCGCGTCGCACACTCCAACATGCTCCTATTTGCCCCAATGTGATCCAATCCGTTTGCGTCACCGGAAACTATATGGCGACCAAGCGTTCGCGTCGCATTGGAGCATTCCTCAAGGAGCAAGTAGGAGTATGATCCATTTGCCCCAGCTTCGGAGGTGGTGCAGTTTGGGCAAAAACAGTTTTGTCATGAGCGCATGCGCAATCATTAGTTTACTTTTGCGAAGAAGAATGCAAAAAAGTACGACTAAATTAAGAAAACGTGTATTAAATATTTAGGTATTTAAAATGTCTTGCATAAGATTTTAGTTGACTGCTGAAATATGCATTTTTATAATTAATTAACTAACAGTAAATTCAAAATAGGTTAAGTGATTTTATTTTAGGACAATTTGTGTGACTTATGTTTATATTTTATTTGAATTAATACGTGAGCAAAAATGTAATATTTTACATACGACATATTATTCAGTAATTTGTGATTAATATATTCCAACATTATTTGTTTTAAAGTTATTTTAACCAGTTAAGAAGTGTTCACTTACACAACTATTGTATTTAATATTAATGATTTTTTTGTTATAGTCTTCAGCAAGACAAACAATCCATAATGGCTGAATCTAATCAGAAAATTATGATAGCACACCCGAATGCTAATTCTTTAATAACAGGATCTATGATTCCAAAGAACTCAGCTATAAAAGTCATGCCAAAAATATTGTCATTTAAATTAGTTAAGCCTCAAACACCAAATACTTCTGCCGTAACTCACACAACGAACTTAACACAATACTTAACCTTAACACAGTGCCTTTGATGAATAAGATGAGTCCTTCCAGTATTCAGTTGCATGAAAGTCCTTCCATTACAGCAACAAGCTCTACGCAGCATACAGATACAATTATGAGTTCATTGGATTTTTCGATTGTAAACTCAGATTCTTCCACAGTTATGGAAAAGGAACTTATGACAGATAATGAAAAAGAGAATGATTCTGTTTTCAACAGTGTTTTCAACAGTGATAGCCATTTTATTTGGAGTCATAAAAGTATAATGTTATTTTTCTCAGAATATGAAGAACATGAGAAAAAGTTTCAAAAACAGAAATATCAAAGTAAGGAGGCTATGTTTCAAGCGTTAGCAGAGTCGTTCCAAAAGAAAGGTTATATAAATGCTACCAAAAATCATATGAAAAATAAATTTAAATTATTAAAGAAGAAATGGAATATACATATTAAACGGACCACTGGAAAAAACAGCTCTGGAAAAGGCACAAAACCTCTTCCATATGAAAAGTAAGTTTTATGTTCATTCTGTTTCTTGTATGTGTCATAATTTTAAATGTAATACTTTCAATTGATACTCAGAAAACATGAAAGTTTTGAAGATATATAAAAGATATGTTTTAAATATTTTCTAAGAAAAGATATTTTTAAAAGTATCTAAAAGATATCTTTTAGAAATATCTTGAAGATATCTATAATGAGATATCTTTTACATATCTTTAAGATCTCGATGTTTTCTAGATCTTAATATGTCCTTAAATATCTTTCAAATAACTTAAGTATATTTTTTGATATCTAAAATAAAATTTGTAAACGTTTTAAAATATCACGTCTTAAAGTGTAAGATGTTTTTTTACATTTCATCGAAATATGTAAAAGATATCTTAACTTGTTGCATAAGGTATCTTTTAAATCTCTAAAAAATCTTTCAGAAATACAAGACGTCTGGAGACATAGCAAAATATATTTTAGAAGTCTAAAAGATATCTTTATGTCTATTTGGGCAGTTTAATCATCTTTCTTTTTTGATATTTTTGCTTTCTTTTTGTTATTTTCGAAATATTTAAAGTATATATATTTAATCACTAATGGATTGTATACTTTTCCTTATAGAGAAATGATAAAAATATTTGGAAAAAGTCATAGTGGAGTGCCACTTATTGTAGCTAGCCGTAATGGAATTATTTCTCAAAAAGAAATTTTGCAAAACGTCTGTCAAAATTTGTCTGAGTGAGTAATGATCTCTCTAAAATACATTTTTAAATTCTTGTCTTCATTTAGATAAGTAATTAAAAGTGTTTTCTATTATAGAAATGAGAATGAAGAGCAACAAGAGCAGATTTCTTCTGTACTACATTCACCGAATGCCGTAACTGTAGGTACCAATTTAAATCTCTTGTCATCGAGAAACAATTCGTCACCAACAAGGAGCAATGTTTCAGTTCCGACATTATCGACTAATAGCAGCAGATCATCAATGACGGGTAGCAGCTGCTCCTCTTTAACAAATACAAGAGTAAAAGTACGAGATGGCAAATTGGCGCTTACTTTGCAATCAGTCAAAGAATCCATTTGTGCCGTGTTACAAAAAGAAAGTAATGATAAACAAGAAATACGCACAAAATTTCTGACAGAGCTTCAAAAATTTAACGAATTGCAAAAAGAACGAAATATCATTCTGCAAAAACAACTTATGGTACTTGAAAATTTGGCCAAAAAGATAAATCCAACAGAGAAATTATTATTACATGACTGAAAACATTGAAATAATTGTTAGATATAAACATATATTTTATTTGACCATATTTAAAACAATGTTGGTTATGTTTTTAGTTTTTGATTAAATATAAATATTTAATTTCTCAAATTTTTATTTATTCGTTTTCTGTTAATTTTAATGGATAGCACGATAAGACTTCGTATTAAACTTCTCGAGAAGTCAAAGTTAAGTTTACTCGATTGAGTTTTTTTGCATAATAAAGCAGTATTATTTAAAATCAGTTGCTGATAAAGGATAGAAACTATTACAATTTCTTTTAATCATCAGTCATTTTTAGTTAGTTTAGTCAGTTTATTGAAATATTACACACGTGCATTATACATTAATTGTATTTATTTTTTGTGAAAAAATTATTAGAGATATAAAATATATGATAATTAAAACAAACTGATGTGTGGATAACTGATATGTATTGTTGAAAAGAATTTTTTTGTTCAGAGACATTCTATAATCACAAATAAAACTTTAATATAATATTTAAGAGATTTTATTATCTTTCTTAACTTCTCCTAATATGAATAATTTAATATAACGATTGTTAAGATAACGATCATTATGTTAAATTGTTTTTGTGTAAAAAAATTCAATTAAAATACATATACAAACATATAAAATAAATATAAAATATAGATATGTATTTTAACTTTGCTATATATACATATAGAATACTTAAAAAAAGTAGAACTTATTACAAGAAGTAATCATCTTCTCATGGCCACTTTTTAAGGTATATCCAGACAAATATGTATGAGCACATGATATATATAAACATAAAAATAAAATAATCAATTGCTTTTTTTTTACAATAAGCGCACACAAAATTCCAGAACGTTAAAAGTGTAGTAAAACGCAAAAAAGGCAAAATAATATCTTGCAAAAACAATATAGCGATATTAGAGAAAATGGTAAAAAGAATATACCTAAGAAAAAGAATTATCATATGAAGACTGAAAACATAGATATTGATGTAAGATGTAAACATATTATTTATTTAACGCTGAACTTTTATATATATATATATATCATATAGTCATTAAAATTTATCTTAATATATCTCTACTCTACGTTGAATCGTCTTTGGAACAATTGTCGGCATAGTTCAGCTTTGAGATCAGCTCTGAGATCACAACCACGTCGTTCATCAACAGGATTTTCATCTCTATCTTCTGGCAGGACATGGGGTAACAACACCTGTGCATTTACATCAGCATGATTGTCGTCCTCGGGTTCTTCCATGTATTGCATATCATTAAAGTCAGCCATATTATGAAGGACGCAACAAGCGAAAATGAATTTAACGATGAACTGCATGTTCCTCAGCTTAAGGAAATATAATTGCCTGAAACGTTGTTTCAATACTCCAAATGTATGTTCTACAGAGATTCTGCACTGACTATGTATACGATTAAAGTTTCTTTGGGCCTGTGTAAGATGTCCATTATCCCGATATGGAGTAATTAATTGAGGAAGGCATGGATATGCAGCGTCTCCAAGAATTATGTTTCCGTCTAAAAAAATTACATTTGCTTAAGATAAACATCAAAAGTTAAATAAACATTCACGATAAAGTATATGTATATTAACTAAATTAAACAAGAATAGAGATATTCGACTAAAACAATAATACAATAATTGTTTATGATTATTATGTATTCATACTGTGACAGAGTGCTGGTAAGTCTTCAGCCAGACTAGAATTTGCAAATACTCTTGCATCATGCACTGAGCCAGGATATCCAATTAACACATCTAAGAACTTGTTCTGCTCATTAACTGTTCCCTGCATGTGAATGGAAAAATAATGTTTTCTATTGATATAGGCTACTGGGTCTTCAGAAGGTTTGTCTATACGGATGTGTGAACCATCAATAGAACCTGTAACAGGAAAGAAATATTAATTAAGTTATATCATTACACACTAAATTACAAAAATGTAAGTTTAAATTAAGTACATCATCAGAAAAAATTACATTATTACCAATTATTCCTGGAAAATTTTTATTTTCTACATAGTATCTCTGTGTTCTCTGCTTTTCTGCCTCAGTGGGATACCGAATAAATTCATTTCTTAAATCATATAAAAACTGTGTGACTCTTTGTAACACTGATTCAAGGGCACTAAGAGATAAATCAAATCTATCAGCAACATCCCTGAAACTTGCACTTTGATGCCCAGCAAACCATAGAAAAGAATGTGTTTTTCAGCCGAAACTACTTCAAATCCTCCATGTCCTATATAAAATATTAATTATACTTTATTTAAAATAAAATGAAAAACTTGTGATATTAAATCTTTAATTTAAAAAACAGTACTTACCTCCTAGATTTCTAAAATGTGCACAATAACTAAATCTGTCCACCATGCTTCTGAAAAGCATTCTTTTTAAACGATAATGCATAATAAATTCTTCATCAGTATACATTGGCACTATTTGTTCAATATAATTAGTTATGCATGTTCTACGTCTTCTTGGAATGATACCTTCAGCGATTTCAATAACTGCATTAATAGCAATATCTACAAATTACATAAAATCAAATAAAAATGCACTATTTAAGGAAATGACGGTAATTATACAAAATACCCCCCTCACCTCCAATTTTGACGAAAAAATATTTAATCGACGCGTTTTTGCAAGAGAAACAACTTTTCTATTTGAAAAAGTAGTCGCTCTGTCTTGTGGAGCGAGATATAAATTGTTAAAGTTGATGACAATTTAGGTTAGGAAATCTGTCAGGAGGCGACAGATAAGATTCTGACAGAGATTTTTTCAAATAGAAAAGTTGTTTCTCTTGAAAAAATGCGTCGATTAAATATTTTTTCATCAAAATCGGAGGTGAGGGGGATATTCTGTATAATTACCGAAAAGACAAATTAAAACTAATAATGTTCAGAGGTTATAGCAAATAAGGTTAGGATGTCACATCTTCATCAATACTCACTCTCTATTTCATCGTCGTTCCCATTGTCTTCCACAAATAAATCACGAATTACAGCTAAAGGTAAAAGATTTTCATTAATTTCATTCATAATTAATATATTAAAGCCAATGAGAAAATCTTCCAATGGATCCATGCTGCGAGTTTAATTTGCATGTTTGCATGCATCTTAAAAGAGGAGAGACTGCTCCAATCCGTTCGTGTCACTGAGCATTGGTGCACATGAACTCATCTGCTCCAACCACCATCTTATCCGTGATCCAAATGCTCCCTGGTGTACATTGGAGCATGCGACGCGAACAAACCTAAACAGATCTATGGATAGTAGATAAGCGGCTCTAAGCTGTCGCTTAGCTGCTATCTTATAATTGCGATTTGACGTGATGAAACGTGTAAATATATTTATAAATGTATGTAAATACGCTAAGGATATTTTGTTCGTCGTTGATGTGACTTTAATCACGCGGTGTGCTACGCTAAAACGTTTCGAATATCGATGGTGAAGAGAGGTGTTGACGAGGATCAAATATTCATCTTGAATTGACTTTTGATAGAACCAACTGCAGCAGCAATTTGTACGGAATAACATTTCGTCACGGTCGCGTCGATAACGTGCCACTGTTATGTAATTTTATCATGATATATTCTTGTTCAATGTTCTTGCAACACGACACAACCAGGTCAGTACATCCTTGACTGTTATAAAGTAAGGTTAAACACAAATTTTAATTGAAGCTTCTCCCGTTGGTATTTTATTTAACTTCTGGCCGGAACTATCAATAAATCTGAAAGCTCTCCTAGCAAACTGCATGATTTTATTTTGTAACTATGTTGTACATATGTTTTCTTTCACTCTTTTTTTACAAATGCAATTTTTTATTAAAAAAATTTATGAAGTTATGCACATATCTAAATTTATTTCTTTTTCTTATTGGTATATAATTAATACATAGCTTATTATTAATATTGCACAAGACAGATGTTAATCACAAAGCTTTTTCTGAATATTGTGTGTATGTGTATGTACATATTATTATATTCCAAAGTTTCAAAATTTATTTCAAACTATTAAAAAAGAATAAACAAATATTAACATACAATACCAACAGATAGATCTGAATTAAGTTGTAATATATAACATATTCAAGTTTAATAAGTAACATAACATATAATAATTATGATATATGTTATTTACTAATTAAACTTGTTATATATTACAAATATGTATAATATGTTATATATTACAACTTAATTTAGATCTATCATTAATATTATATATCAATATTTGTTTCTTTTATTTTTGTTTTAGTAGTTTGAAATAAATTTTGAAATTTTGGAGTTATATAAATATATACTTTAGATTGCATGTGAAAATACAATGATGTATTATTTTTAAATGAAAAAGAATTATAGATTCATGAAATATATAATATTAACAAGTAACAAACAGCACGATACAATAAGCAATGGCAAGTGAATTTTGGAATGTTCTGGTGACGGGAGGTGCTGGTTATATTGGTTCTCATACAGTCTTGGAATTACTGCAAGCAGACATTCAGGTGGTGGTAATAGACAACCTAAGCAATGCACATAAAGGTGAGGCTGAATAAACTATTCTGTGCAGCTGATATAAATTGCACATTGCATTCTACAAAACTAAGTCATATAAATAATATCGTATTATATTATTATTGTATATTTTCTATTAAAAAAAATGATCAATTTTTCTAATATATTTCGTTTATACCACAGATATAATAATAAAATATATATAAATTAGGAATTTGATGTTTGTAATAAATGTATCCTTTTTTATTTATATATTACATATAGTATATTTTATCACATGTGTGTATGTATGTGTGTGTGTGTGTGTATGCGCACATGTGTGTGCATCCTCATATGTGTATATACATACACAAAAAACTAATTTTTTCTTCAAATTTATTATATATTACTTTTATATTTATAGATATATTTATATTTATAGATTCAAATTCTGAGAAACCAGAATGCCTTCTTAGGATAGAAAAATTAACAAACAAAAATATCACATTTATTAATTGCGATATTACAAATATTAATGACTTGAGAAGTGTATTTCAGAAGGTAATAAATATATTTTATACAAATTGACTTATAAATTTATTCATAGTATATGAAGGAGATCCAAATTTTAAAAGATTACATTACAGTATACATTCCATTGTGTTATACATCTTGCTGCATTGAAGGCAGTTGGAGAATCATGCCAGAAACCACTCGAATATTACAAAGTCAATGTCGCTGGAACTGTAAATTTACTGGAAATTATGTTGGAAAACAATGTGAAACGTTTCATTTATTCTAGCAGTGCCACAGTTTATGGTGTACCTGAAAAACTTCCTCTAATAGAAAATATGAAGACTGGCAATTGCACAAATCCTTATGGAAAAACAAAATTTATGGTTGAAGAAATATTAAAGGATTTGTGCATATCAGATAAGGTGTGCATTATAATTAATTGCTTAAATTTCAAAAATAATAAAAAACATTACTTTCAGGAATTTTCGGTTATATCGTTGAGATATTTTAATCCTGTTGGTGCTCATCCTTCAGGTCAGATTGGTGAAAATCCTAATGGTGTTCCAAATAATTTAATGCCTTACATTGCGCAGGTTTCTGTTGGAAAGAGAGATGTGTTATATGTTTATGGTGATGACTATGACACACCTGATGGCACAGGTATGTAGAAAAATTTACACACTTTTAACTGCGGGAAATATGAGATAAAAGTTCTTGAAGAAAATGGTTGTTATTGAAAAAAAATATATAGAGAGAGAGAGAAAGATTAAGGATAAAGATTTATGTAAATTATAATCGAAATAAGTAAACCTGTAAAAGAGGATGCACTTTCAGCGACTTTGACCTTGACTTGTATTATAAACTTATTAAGGTCACTCCTGAGGTAACATTCAAAAAGTTTTAGCCCCGTGAGTCATTGTTTATTAAAAAATTATTAACAAAGGACATTTCATAAATAGGACATTTATATTCAATACCATTTCTTGAACGATTTATTGAATAAGTGCAAAAGTTCGTACGATTCCAATAGATGTTATAAGGAGAGTTGTATGATATTGGCGCCATTATGTTAATATTATGTGTACAAATTGTACATCATTGGAAAAGTGACATATTCAATTGGCATTTAAGTGAAGGATTTATATATTTTTATTAAATTTACGTTGTGAAAAAAATATTTTGAAAATGATCGAAAAAAAGGTGCATTTACAGCTTGTTATTTTTTATAAACTTCGGAAGGATATAACAGTTGGAGTGGTAAAAAACATTCAAGATGCTTATCAGGACAGGTGCTAGCAATTCGAACTATTAAGAAATGTCTTGTGGAATTTAGATGTAATTTCCACTTTGATGACTAGCCATGCTTTAGCCGATCTTTCAGCTTAGATCATGTTATACATTATACATAATTTAGTACAAAATAATTTACGAATTTCAATAGGAGAGATTGCTAAGAGATTCAACATTGACAGATCGACTGTATTTTGACCTTTAAAAAAGATGGGATACTTTGAAACTCGATATATTCGTATTTTTATTTGGGATTGCAAACAAATAATTTATTTTGAGCTGTTCATTGGTCAAACGTTGATACTTTTAACAAGTACTGTCAACAATTAGACGATTCCAAGACCAGTCCAGGAGAAGCATCAAATTCTGACCAAGGGAGTCATTTTTCATTACAATATCGCAAAACCGCACACTGCAAAACAGACCTTACGCAAATTAAAAGAACAAAACGGGATGTCATATCACGCCTATCGTATTCTCTTGATATCGTATTATTAGACTGTTCATGAGGTTTGTTTCGATCATTATAAAATGATTTGAACGGGAAAAATTTGTATTTTTGGAATTTGTATATTTGTATTTTGGAAAAAGCATCTTTTTTCTTTTTTCAATGCAAAATCGAAGTTATTTTATGGTCGAATCACCTATATGCTATCAAAAATTGGGAATAGATTGTAAAAAACAATGGCGGTTATATCATTGATTAATAAAAATAATTACGTGCTAAATTACCGCTTCAGTTTTAACGAAAAATCTGGCACAAACTTTTGCACTCATCCAATACAAATAATATGTATATAGGATGTCCAATTTTAATCTATCACTCCTCTTTGCAGGGAGCGGTTGCAGAGAAAAATATTTCAGACAAAAGTTGTATGGTTTCAAGGGGGATATAAAACTTGTAAACAAACTGATATAGCTGTTTTATGTCTAAATATTTTCTCTACGACCGCTCCTTGCAACGAAGTTACGAAGGGTGATGGATTAAAATTAGATACTCTATATATATATATATACACAAAGAGCTCCAGAACAATTTTTACAAAGCTCGTAGAGACATAGACTATATTAAAACAAACATAAAAGTCCCATACCGCGTTCCCATTTTACGATATTCGCAATAGTTATCGAGTTATTAATTACAGAAATCTGACAAGTGAGTGTGCACCGAATGAATGATTGAAGAAGCATCACAGCCTCTCGGGTCAGCGCGACCCAGTTGATCCAGCAATTGTTGGTGGCGTACGCCAAGACGTAAAAACGGCCAGATAAAGCACGAATAGCGGCGCATTATCCTTCCATTCGATTAGGCCGCGTTGTGGTTCGAGAGGCTGCAACACTTCTCCCATCATTCATCTCGGCGCGTGCCTACTCAGATTTCTATCATTAATAACTCAACTATTTTGAATATCGCAAAACGGTATGGGACTTTTATGTTTGTCTTAATCCTCTATATCTCTACAAGTTCTGTAAAAATTGTTCTGTACATAGATTTCTCAAGTAAACAACAAACAGTATATGTATGCATGGGAGATGGGTTTTACTCCTCTCTAAAAATCTAATCTAATTTATAACAATTTTTACTAATTTTTCAATATTAAAGGATATAAACTGTTATGTATACAAAAACAATACATACAAAAGAATATATTCTCACGAGAAATGTGAATATAGATTAGATTAGGTTTTCGAGCTTTGTAAAAATAGTGTTGCAAGAAAAGAAGCAAAATCCCTTTGTTGCCGCGTATATGTGTGAAGTAACGCATTTTAATAAATATTTAAACTAAATAAATATTTAAACTATTATTCACATGCGACTACAACTTTATTTTTATAATATAAAAAATATATATCGCATTTATAAAATTTCGTTTATTAATAACTTTTTTAATCGTTTAACTGCTGAGATATTAAATGACCAGTATGACCCTCTTTGCTGAGTTATTTTTACAATTATAAAATATTTTATAATTTGCTGATGATCCAGATTTTCACAAATTCACATTTTTAAATAAAAAAAATACCATACGCAATACCACACACATTGAAAGTCCAAATCGAGTAAACTCGATCGTAGCAAGGCCGCCATTTTTTCCCAGACTCGAGTTATCTCGACCGTAGCAGTTAAAGGGTTAATAAATAGTGGACGACGACTAAAAGTTACTCAAAAGAATATTTGTATTTGTTCTTAAACAGGTGCTTTTCTCTTTGATATATGCGATATTAGAAAAACATATTATTTATGAAACTTTTTAATAAATAACTTTTTAATAAATAATGACCGATGATTATTGATTATTAAGAAAGTAAAACCTGAACATTAATCAGGAGGATGACCTCTATAATATATATCAAGGTTAAGACTGTAGGAGGTGAGTTCTCTTTTGTAAAAGTTTATCTAGAAATATTTTATTTGTTATAGGTGTGCGTGATTACATCCATATTATGGACTTGGCAGTAGGACATGTAAAAGCAATGATTTATCAAAAGACTGATAATCCAACTGGATTTAAGCCAATAAATCTTGGTACCGGTAAAGGTTATTCCGTGCTTGAAGTTATACATGCATTTGAGAAAGCGTCCGGAAAAAATATACCATATAAAATAGTCGAACGTAGACCTGGTGACATATCTGTTAGTTACGCGGATGCTAGTATCGCCAAAAAGGAACTTGGTTGGGTTGCCACAAAAAATATGGATGTTATGTGTAAGTCATAGTAACAATTAGATTTATAAACAATATATATTGTAAAACTTTATCTTCATAAAATGTATCATAATGTTTTAAAAATTAAAATTATTTCGTAGGTGTAGACACTTGGAAATGGCAACAAAATAATCCAAACGGTTATAAACACTGATAAATATCTATCGTATTTAAGTGACTATGAAAAGTTGAGAAATGTTATATTTTATCTTTCATATCATCAGATAGATAATGAAACCATGGTGGTATATAGTTACCAAAGTTTAGACCAAAGCATAAAAAAAGAATAGTTATTTATTTTCTGTTGCATTAAGTGATTCTAATATGAATTTATCGAATATTTTAACATTTATATATGTTGAAGTTAAATTTTATAATCACAATGTGCTGTACTATCTTAAATTTGAATATCGTATAACATATGAAAAATATAATACAGCAAAAACTTTCCATAAAAGTGCAAAAAATAATACTTTTATACAGAATGTCCCATAACTCAGTATGAAAAATTTATGGAAACAGAACGGTTTAAGGCAAACATAAAAGTCTCATACGGTAATATTCGTAAAAGATATCGACAGATTCAGATAGACAGACATTCATTGTATATTGTAAGCAGCATAACATTTGTAATATGCTTGCTGTAAAAAATACGTATTTATTATTCCATATTTTGCAACAAAATAGTTTGTTAGCAACAAAAATCAGTTTGTATTGCTGATTAATTGCGTCTTCTTGCCGATGCAATTGTAGTATGTGCCACAATTTTCATGGCATCAGATTGCTTCTTTTATGCTGCTTTTATATGCTTTTATATGCTGCTACAATGTTTCTTGTATGAAGACGTATCTTTATGTATTTATGCTACTATTTTAATTCTCGAATTCAGACTCTATACAAACAATCTGTCGAAATTTGTCTACCTGGAGAGTTAGTAATGACAGAAATCTGATGAGTGAGCGCGCGTTGAGATGGATAATTGAAGAAGCGTTGCAGCTACTTGAGCCACAGCGCGGCTCAGTCAATCCAGCAACTGTTGGCGGTGTGCCGTGAGACATAGGAGCGATAAGATAAAGCATGAATAGCGGTGCGTTGTCCTTTCCCTCGTCGCACACCGGTAATAGTTGCTAGATCGACTAGGCCGCGCTGTGATTCGAGAGGTTGCAACGCTTTTCTACTCAAATTTCTATCATTAATCACTCAATAATTATTGCGAATATCGCAAAACGGTATTGGACTTTTATGTTTGTCTTAATCTGCTCTATGTCTTCATAAATGTACTAACTCATATACTCATACTAACAAGGAGATGGCAAGACATGTAAAATCGATAATTAAATGAGTCATATTTCATTCGAATAGGGGGATTGAGTACATAAAACTCCTAAAAGGGTTTGCGTACATGGGCCTTCGTTTGTAAGAAATTTGAAATTAAAAAAATAGCTACATGCTAAGTGTAGTAACTGGGAATCAATAAGCGTGAAGCGCGATAGCTGCGGAAGCTAAGGCGCGCGCTAGTATTTTGTCGTCTATGTCCGAGGAGTGTTCGAGTCCTTGCAGTGCCAACTTTTTTTTGTATATTATGTTTACAAAAACCAGGTGACATATTTGGAGTACGCGTTCAAGAAGTTGACAAACTTTTAAAATTATGCAAAAATATGATTGTTGTTTGCTCAAAATTAGGAAAACTGACTTCATATTTATATGAACAATATTTGAAAACAATTATAAAACCTTATGTAAGCAACAACCCATTTTTTATGATCATCGATTCTTGGGGAGGTCTGAAAAACGTACATATGTATAATGAAAATTTTATTGATTAAAACAATAAACCAACAATAAGTGAACGCGATATATTTTCAAATGTTAATCAGTTATGTTTCCCTTCAAATATAATGTAAAATGTTTTTGCAAAACAATTCTTTTATAAAATGTTCGTGGTGTGCTACTTGTTTATGTTTTACATACTTTTATGTGAATTGTCATCCACAATATTGTACGGCAATATCTGAATTTTATAATAAATTAAAACGTTTATTCTTGTTATTTTTTATATAATAAGACAGATATTATTATATATGTGTGCATTATATTTTTGTCCTATAAAAAATAATAAAAATATAGAAATATAAAATATAGTAATACATAATATTATAAAAAAAGTTAGCACTGCCAAGACTCGAACACTCCTCGGACGTAGACGACAAAATACTAGCGTGCGCCTTACCCAATGAGAAATGATTCCTCGATCGATGTCGAAACGATGTCAAATCGATATCGAATCTTCAAATCGACATCGATTCGACGTCGATCGACGAATCATTTCTCACTGGCTAGCTTTCGCAGCTACTGCATTTCACGCTTATTCATTTCAAGTTACTGCACTATAATGTAGCTGTCTTCTTAATTGCAAATTTCTCGCAAACGAAGGTCCATGCACGCAAACTGCCATTTCCTTATAAGTTATGGGACATTGTTTGTGCATATATATATATACTAGAGATGTGCGAACTATTCTAATTCGAATCGAATCGAATCTAATGTAATTCGATTCAATTCGAATCTGAATCCCTATGATTCGAATCCGAATAATTCGAAAATTTCGAATCGAAGATTCAATTACGAATCAAATATATTAGCGTGCATTATATTTGCATGCATCAAATACAAAACGAGACATCTGGACCTGTATGTTTGAACCCTTAACTTGTAATTAACTTAACTTATAATTAATAACTTAATTATAAATTACTTTAAATATTTAAATATATATTTTACTTTAAGATGATATTACAATATCAATATCCCCTTTCATATTAAAACCTTCCATCATTATGTGCATGTTTAATAGTCATGTTAAATTTTTTAATGATTCGATTCGATTCGAATTCGAATGAAATTTCATAGATTCGATTCGATTCGAATTCGAATTAAAAAAATGAGATTCGATTCGATTCGATTCGACATAAAAATTCTTGATTTACACATCTCTAATATAACATACGCGCGCGCGCGCGCACACACACACAACGCGCACGCGCACGCGCGCATATTAATGATGTAAGAAGTGTATACTAGAAATATTAATATATAAATAAAACAAGTATATCATTTATCATTGAAAATATTCAAGGTTAGATCTATATTTGTTATATGTTTTGTTTTTCGCTGATCATAGTTTTTTAACAAAAAGATACATCAGCATTAATTGCATGTTTAACATTGTTACTTTATTTCAATGCATATAAAGCATATATAAAATTTATACGTATATATTCTCGTTGCTTCGCTGAATATTTTCATTGAAATTTCTGTTACAAAATATTAAATTTATATCGATTTACTATACGAAGGGGATACTGTTCCCGTCGGGCTCCGCCGATGGCGATCGCGCGGTATCGCACAACGCTGTACGCGGAGGGTGCAAATACACGATTTTTAATCGCTATAAGTGCAGGAGAACAGAGAAGCCGATCACGCAAGATTACGCTTAAACTGAATTTATTCTTATTTACAACAAACAGCCGTACCCGGCGGCGAACAATTTTCGATCGAGCGGAAGTCTTGCGGCACCTTTTTCAGCTTGTAAGACGCGGACAGAAATCTTGGGTACCGATGGGTACGCGATCGAGCGTCGGAGAGTGGCGTGCGACCCAGGCGCGTAGAACAAGGCGCAGCTTCACGCAATCAACCGAGTGCAACGATGCAGCCACGACGAAATAAAGCACTGATCACGCGAACAGAAAACGAATGAAGCTCTCGCTCGCCTGTTGAGATCGGAAGCAAAGACAAATAAGCAGAGAGCGAAGAGAATCTTCGATCTCACTTATATCTTTTTGCAGCTCTAGCTGGCAGATAATGATTGGCTGTAACTCGTTCACGCCGTGATCGCATGTTTGGGGTCTGCCCGGTATATACGGCTAACGCGGGAATAAACATTGTTTTGAGGAGCATTCCTCGCTGAGGATCTCGTGGTCCAACGTTCGGCGACGAGATCTCCGCTAGCGCTGAGCACGCATCGATCACGCGTGAGCTTATCGAAGCTAGAAGAATCTTTGGATTCTTCCAGAAAACTATCGTGTACGCTATGAATCCCAAACAGATATGTATCGACAAAAAATTTTTATTTATATTATTTTTAATATAAAAAGGACATTCGAAGACCTATATGTAGGACCTATATGTAGGAAGATATAAATGCATTGAATTTTTACATGAGAAGTAAACTGTTATATAATTTTAAGTAATGCTGTCCATTACTTAAATCTACATCTGTATTGTAAAAAATATTTTTATTGAAATTTTTATTGAAATCCTGTCAACAACATTATAATCAAAGTAATTGTAAATTTAATTCAGAATGTTTCAAAGTACTTCCATTATGTAATATGTATAAAATAACTTTATAATTAAAGTTGTCTTATAAAAAATTTATGTTTTAGAAAATATCCTATAATAATGTAGCTACCGTATCTATCACTTTTCGGATTAATAAACAACATCATATTTTGTTCAACAAGAAAAAGTTATACTGTTTCGATTATGTAAAAAAAAATTGTAATGTATTAGAATCAATTAATTACACTTTGTTACTTCTGTGAACATAAATTTCATAATTATTGTGCTACACATATTATACTATATGTTATATTAGGTTGTTCGGAAAGTTCGTTTCAAATTTCGCGCGCTCCACATTTCTATGTAATCAGTAAGAACGAGGGCGATCTAAACGATTTTATGTTGGTCAACAAACATTCCCGGATCTATGAGCCCGCTAAGGAAACTTCGCAGATCTTCCTAAGTGCAACTATTTCGTCAGAAATCAGTTTGAAAAATGGAGAACCAAAAAGTCCATTTTCATCATGTGATGCTATATTGCTTTAAACGTGGCTTCACGGCTTCGCAGACCCTAAATGAGATGTTCTCAGTATATGGAGATGCCTGCGTCACTCACCAGACAGTTCGAAAATGGTATCGAAGATTTGAAGCTGGCGATTTCAACATGGAAGATCAAGCTCGCTCAGGCCGGCCTCAGGAGGTTGATGAAACGCTTCTTATGGATCTCGTGCACGAAAATCCTCGAGTGACAGTTAGAGAACTCGCCGACACTCTGCACAAGTCTGTTTCCACCGTGTATGACCATCTGAAGAAGCTAGGATTCTCAAGTCGACTAGATGTGTGGGTGCCACACGAAATGAATGAACGGCAATTGCTGGAACGTGTGAACGTCTGCGATATGCTGCTTCAACAGCACCAAAAAGAACCGTTCTTGAAGAGGATCATAACAGGCGATGAAAGTTAGATCCTATACAATTATGTTAGCCGCAAGAGGTCGTGGGGAACTAGCGACGCGTCTACGCAAACAGTGGCCAAGCCGGGGCTTCACGCCTCTTCAGCCGGGGCTTCACGCTCCAAAGGCTCTTCTGAGTATCTGGTGGGATTTTAAGGGCGTGGTATATTATGAACTTCTTCAACCAAACGAAACCATCAACGCGGCAAAGTACAGCCTTCAACTGGACGAACTGAAGACTGCCAACGCACGGAAGCACCCTGAATTGGCCACAGGCGTGGAATTGTTTTCCATCATGATAACGTCAGATCTCACGTCGCAATGTCTATCCGTAGGAAGCTGTTAGACTTCGAATGGGACGTTCTTCCTCATTCTTCATATTCTCCCGACCTTGCCCCATCTGACTACTATCTATTTCTTTCTTTAAAAAATTTTCTTCGGGACAAGAAATTCGAGTCTTTGAAAGTCCTGAAAAGTCATCTTGATAAATTCTTCGCCAATAAGAAACCTTTATTTTGGAGCAAAGGCATCATGCAGCTTCCTGAAATATGGGCCAAGGTCGTTGAACAAAACGACTTTGGCCTACATATTTGCTTCAATAAAGTTCCTCTTTGCGTAAAATATTGCGCTCTTAATTTATTTCAAAAATTTGAAACGAACTTTCCGAACAACCTAATAATTTATGATTGCGATGTATACACTACTGGGGCCCACCGCTCGGTGCCACCACTGCCCCGAGCCTATGGACACGGCGCAGCATACCCTGGCCGCCTGCGCGGCATGGGAGGAGCAGCGCCGCGTCCTGGCCGGGGCGGTGGATTGGCGAGAGGGGGAGCTGTCGCTCCCGCACCTAGTGAAAGCTATGTGCGGGAGCGAGGAAGCCTGGGAAGCGGCGGCCTCCTTCAGCAAGGACGTGATGTCCCGGAAGGAGGCCGCCAAGTGGGAGCGTCGGCCCGGGGTACGTCGTCGTAGAAGACGACGGGGCCGGCGCTCCCCGGGGGGGGGGATCCACAGCGGGCCCGAGGTGGCATCGGCCGAGGAGAGGCCGCTGACCTATACGAGTCGACGCCTCTCTCGGCCGCCTCGGGCCCGACTCCGTCAGTCAAGGGGGGGGTGATGGGTCGGGCCCATCCTCCTCCGACTGATCGGATAGGTAAGGAAAAGGGGAGGTGGATCACCCAATTGGGGCTGGGCCTACCTCCCCGATTCTCCTCTCTCCCTGGGATTTACAGGGAGAGGGGGGGGTAAGGAGGAAGAGTGGATGTCTCCTTCCTCCTAGGTGACACCAGAAGGCCAACTGGCGGGGCAACCCGCCGAGGACCTGCCGCGCCCTCCCACTAATTTCCCGAAAGGGGTACACGGGGCGTGGGGTTCTTCGTTGAGAGCCCCGTGGGGCCGGGGTGTTGGGGAGGGAATGCGGGAGCAGTTCCCCTAACTCCCCTCACAACGGTCCGACAGGTAGACATCCCGCAGAGGTTTTAGTCGGTAGGAGTCCGACATAACTTCCACCCCCCCAAGAGATGGGGGTATCCATGATGAATTTCCCCTGCGTGAACAAAAAAAATGTATACACTACTCAAAAGAATTATGGCATAGATAATTTATTGCCGAAAATTGGCCAACTTTGACTGGCGATTACTTCGCGAAAAATTGTAGATTAATGATTTTTGTTTCAAAATGCTTGAAGTCTCCACTTTAAGAATGTATCTCCATTTTTTACATGCGATGCACCCCTA